TGATATAAAAAACTGAAAAAATCTTCGCTGCCACTGAAATTGGAATGATCGAAAATTGAAAAATTTTAAATGTCGAGAAAAAGTAATTCAATACAAATAACTATGACTGCGCATGTTATGATTGTTTTTGTATTTTCATTTGCGTTTGTGTGAAATCAACCAATAGTCGATGATCTGCATCGTTTTTTTAAGTTACCACAAGTGTTTACCTTTTTTTCTTCTTTTAAAAATCTCAGTTGTTGTCTTTTATAAATGATGAGGATGTGGGTGTTCTTAAAGTGACTACCTATACCTATCCTCACATCTAAACTTTAGCTCACCGCGCACCTAGAGCCGAAATACTGAGAACTGATGCTATGTTATAATTCGTTTCATGAAACAAATTCAATGGCAACTTCAAATAATAGTAACGATTGTAAAAGTAAAAATGTTTCTATGCATACATCACACAAAATGCATCAAGTATCTAGTAATTTGAGTGAGAAGCAATCAAAAATTCACCTACACTCACATCCTCGTCAACAACCTTGGAATATTCCGCGAAAAGAATAAATACAATTATGACTCAACCTAAATTGTTAGCAATGCAAAAAAAGTAACAAGTGGAGACTTCGATTCTCGTCAATTAAAATTTCATTTTTTTCTTATTTTTATCATTCTTTTTCGCTTATGTTAATCGACTACATTATGGCTGATGAAACTTGAAAACAGTGAAAGTCGCTGTAATCATGTTTTGCGTTACGCAGGTGGTTGCTAATAGTACTTCCTTGCATTCAATCTTGAATAAATATGCTACTTCTTCAAGAGAAATAGGGATGCAACGGTGACGATCAAAAACCGTCCCACCGTCACCGTTTCACCGATCTCAAGCGGTGAAACGGTGGAGCGGTGCACCGTTGAACCGGGCCCCGGTGGGTACGGTGCACCGGTGGACCGGGCCCCGGTTGGTACTGGGCACCGGTGAACCGGGCCTCGGTTGGTACGGGGCACCGGTGGACCGGGCCCCGGTGGGTACGGTGCACCGTTGCACCGGGCCCCGGTCGAACCGGTGAAAGCCGGAAAAACTACGAAACACCTACGGTGAAGGCCGGTGCAGTGGTGCTACCAGATCACACTGATAGAGATATATCTGAATCTTAGAGAAAACCGGCCTTCACCGTAGGTGTTTCGTAGTCTTTCCGGTTTTCACCGGTCCGACCGGGCCCCGGTCCACCGTTTCACCGTCTCAAGCGGTGGAAGGTGAACGATTAATCGTCACTAGGGGTGGCACTTTCCTTTCCTTTCAGAAAGAAAGGAAAGTTGTCACCTTTCCTTTCTTTCTGGAAAGGAAAGCTTTCTGACTTTCAACTTTCATTTCAAAAAAAGAAAGGAAAGGAAAGTTTAAAAACTTTCTTTTGCTTTTTTCAACTTCTAGATGATAGAGAAATGTTTCTTGTACAGTTCCATTAAAAAAGAATTAGGAAAAATCGAAAAAAAAGTCGAAAGAAAGCAAAGAAAGTGAAAAAAAAGTTTTTAGCTATTTATTTTTCAAAGATGTTGACCTTGTTGATGAGAAAATTCTCTGTAGGCTTACTCTGTTGAGGTCAGCCAGTAATTTTTACACAAAGATAAAAGAACGATTGAGTTTCGCGTATATCAATTGTTTAATTTGAACCTTTTAAAAAGGAAAAATCTGCTATTATAGTATCTGATTTTCAAATGATCTTTTTTTTATTTCTACAAGGCGATGAAGGTTAGGAACGTTGAAAAGAACTAGAATACAAGTTTATTCACTTGGTTCTGTATACTCGTTAGATAAAATGACAGCTGAATTCAAACTTGACAATAATGCATAGGTTGCTTTTAAGAATTCAAATTGGAAACTTATATGTTAATTTAGAGAAAAAATATAACGGTAAATGAGAAAATTTGAAATTTGTCATGTATAAGTATAACGAGCATATTGTTCTTTCTGTGCAAGAATTGAGCACGTGAGAAATAAGAAAAAGAGAAAGAGTGATCAACCGTTATTTTTTGCCTATATAAGACGAGACTAGACGAGGCATACGACCTTTACTTATTCTCAAATTACTTGACTGAAAAAGAGAACAAAATGAATTTTTCACCACCTGCAAACTCAACACCTAAAAGTACGACAAGATCTCATCCTGGCCAATCAAGTTCGGTTGAAATACGGCGTCATTCATCACGAAGAAATTCAATATCAATTCTACAAGCTTCTTCTGTTGAAACTGGTAAAATTAAAAAAACGAGAACGAAATCAATGATAGCGACAAAAAAAAGGATTTTAACATCATCATCTATTCCAACAACCACGAGCATATCAAAGACAGTTGCAAATGAAAATTCCAATGAAGAAATGGACGACGATGATCAAACGGCAGCTACAAATAATTTAGATCCGGAGTCAGAAGTAGAAGTGCAGTCTCAACAACAATTACGACAACGAGCCGATTCAACAGCAAGTGATGCAACGGACATGGCAAATGAGGGAGGAAAACTTAAACGAAAAACAACAATGAGCAAACAGGATGTTTTGGCATATTTTACCTCGATTGATGACTATCTCAAATGTAATCTGTGTGTTGATTCCACAAAAGTAAGTGTTGTTCTCTCTTCTTTGTTTATCTTTCGTTTGAAAAAAATAAAATCTGCAGGTTTAACGAGATAACTGAGTACTCAATATTACGAATCGCTTTGTGAGTTAAATACCTCCTCTCGTTCAAATGACTGTGATAAACAAGAGGTGTCAAATGACACAACTAAGAGTTGTTTCTCATTCGTTTTTCGACAAATAATTGTTTCATCTTCGCAACCGAAAAATAAAAATAACAGAAAAAATTAGCTGTTCATACGCCCTTTTCTTTGCAATAGGATCGAAAACTGTGAACGAATAGAGCCATTCTAGAGGAGATGGGCCAGATATTCATTAATTCAAAAGCTATTTTTATTCGAGTTTTCTAATTTATTAAGCAGAAACTATTTCAAAAACTTTTGATCTAAGTTTTACGTCTCTCTATATCTTTTTTACTTTAGAAATTTTCACTGAATGGATCGTCTGATACAAATGTAAGACGACATTTAGGTGTTAAACATCATCTTAAACAATTTCTATATCCTTCACAATTACAAGAATACGAATCAAAACAAAAACAAAAATTCATTTCAACAGCACATAAACAACAACTGGACAAGGCAGTTGTTGCAGCAATATATATCGATGGACGTTCATTCGATGATTTCAGAAAAACTGGCATGATGAAATTTTTGAATTTGGCGATTCCCGGGTAAACATAAAAAAGATTCTCTTCTCGTTTTAGTCTTGCTGATTTTGTATCTATCTCTGCTTGTTTAGCTATAATGTACCGCATCGTAAGACTGTACGTCGTCATCTTGAATTAATTTATCGAAGTTATCGTGAAAATCTAAAACAACAATTATCAAGAGTATCTGATATAGCACTAACATGTGACGTATGGAAATCATCCACTAGAACATATTATTTGTGCATAACGAGCCATTTTTTAAATGGCCAAAATAAAAATAAATCTCTTGTTTTGTCATTTCGTCGTTTTCTGGGTAGTCACTCAGCTATCCGTCTCCGTCGATTTATATCAAATGAACTTGAAAAATTAAAAATTAAAAACAAAATCTGTGCTATAACTACTGACAATGGCCCTGATATTCGAGCTGCAGCATTAACAACAGATTTCGGAATTAGATTATCATGTGTTGCTCATGATTTGAATTTAACCATCAAGAGTGCTTTATGGTTACATAAGAAACCAAAAAAAAGAAAGTAAGCAAAGATAAGCCATTGATAACTATGCTTAGACTATTTCGTCTTGACTAGACCTAGAAACAAACAGGGGCTGAAACACATTTTTAAAAGCGTTGATTTGGCAGATTTTCGAACGTTTTAGTAATAATTAGAACCTTTTCAATGGGGAAAAACTTATTTTCGCTTCAATTTTTGTTTATTTCTTTTTTTTGTTCTAGGGAAAACACAAAATCACGTGATGATGATGATCATCATCAACAACAAGAAAATGATGATAACATCTCGATTGCTGATGGTGAAGATATTCCAGAAGAATATTTAAATGAATCTTCTTCAGAAAACGAAGAAGCTTTAACAAAATAGACAATTGACGATGATGATGAAAAAGAAGAAAGTTCGTTGGAAACTAGCGATGTTGAAGAAGAATATTCATCAACACTCGCAACTGATCTCGAACAAGATCAATTTATTGAAAGATGTGTAGCTGATGAAACTGTTCTGTTATTCACTCTTCATTTATTATTAAAACGTATGCGAAAGTTGATAAATTTTATCCATCAATCAAGCGTTCTAGATCGTTATGTCAAAGAACGAATTGAAAACAAATTGCAAGAAATTAATAATCGTTTGCTACCGGATCAACAACAACAACATGTTCAATTCAAGGATTTGATAATTGATTTCGAAATACGATGGAATACTACGTACTTAATGTTACAACGATTTTTGCTTTATTGTTCAATCATTACAAATATTACTCAAAATCCATCAAATGAAATTGGACTGAAGGAAAATTAATATGAACAATTAAAAAAGTTAGCATTTTCAAGAACAGATTGGATATTACTAATGGCAACACGAAATGTTCTCAAGTCTTTCTATGAAGCGACAACAACGTTGTCCACTCAAAAGTACGAATCAATTGGAATTTCTTATATTGTTATTACAGGCCTAAAAAAATATTTAACAGCGGCCAAAGACGAAGAACCATTTGAAAATCTTCTAAAACAAGAACTATTATCAAAATTTAATTATTATTTCGGCCCTATATTTATTTCGTATCAGCAATGTCAAGCAAGTTTGGTTAGTATTGAAAAAGACTTTTTCTTGAGGGGGTAGAAAAAATCACAAAACAAAAGATGAGCTTATTGAGTACTACTAAAACTAAGAAATGATACTGGTAGATTTTACGTCTTTGAAACAAAAAAAATCTGTGACAGAAAACATTTACAGAGCTAACAACGGGAAGAAAAAAGGCGTTATAATTATTCTACATTTTTAAAGAATATAGTCGATTCCGTTCATACATTTTATTTTATTTCTTGTTTTCAGATTTGTGCATTTTTAGATCCAGCGCTATATGTATATTTGACTTTTGATCAAGATGAATTAGGAAAAGCTGAAAAATTAGTTCTACAACGTGCTGAATTTCGTCGAATTTCATTGCAACCTCCACCACTTATAACACAAGTTACAACAGCAAATTCATCATCATCATCCAGAAAAGATGAACAAGAACAAAAGCAACAACTGCCATCATTATCACTAAACAAATTTTTGAAAACATGTGGAATACAAGAACTAATCAAAACAACAGAAGCAGTTAAAATTAAAGAAGAATATACTGTAAAAGAACAAGTCGCATTCTATGTGGCAAATGTTAAAAGTTTACCAAATTTTGAAACATTTTGGACAAAATATGGTGAACAGTTGCCTGATTTGGTGTCACTTGTAAAACATTATTCATGTATGCAGTCAACATCAGTATCAAGTGAATCGGCATTTTCAATCTCAGGCTACATCAATAGAAAAACTCGTTGTTCGTTATCATCTGCAGCACTTCGGTTTTCCATGTGCCTTAAAAAACCATACGAAGATGAAGACAACACTTGCAAATAATAATAATAATAATTGTAAAAGATAAACATTGATGGTTACATGTAATTATTGAGTGGCCTTTTCTGTGTGGTGTGTCTACATATATTTCTGTTTTCTTTTTCCATTGTGGAAAATGGAAAAAAAGGTACTGAAAAAAACAAGAAGAAATTTTGAGAATAAAACTTAATCTCTTCATTTTTAATATGCATTGGTAATTAGAGGGGATATGATAAGGATGAAGTTGTGAAAGGAGACTACTATAAATGTATAAAATAAAAAAATCAGAAGTTCGACTCAATTCTCCTAAATGTCCTTATTTATTTCACTAGCTAAGCATCAATGTCTTCTTTTTGCGTATGAAAACACTTGTAATACCAGTGAGATCTATTTACTGCTGTTTCTTCTCCTTAAATATCTGTTAAAAAAATACTTCTTCAAAGCAAAAAAAAAGAACATTTTCACTAACAAAGGCAAAATCCTTGAAAAATAAATAGATACAACTTTTTTTCACTTTTTTTCGACTTTCTTTTCGATTTTTCCTAATTCTTTTTTAATGGAAGTGTACAAGAAACATTTCTCTATCATCTAGAAGTTGAAAAAAGCAAAAGAAAGTTTTTAAACTTTCCTTTCCTTTCTTTTTTTGAAATGAAAGTTGAAAGTCAGAAAGCTTTCCTTTCCAAAAAGAAAGGAAAGTGTTTGCTTTCGTTTCCTTTCCTTTTTGAAAGCAAAAGAAAGGAAAAGTGCCACCCCTACCTGTAGGCCTGTCAGCATTTTATAGCTAAAACAAAAATGATAAGAGATTAGAAACTAGAGGTACACACAGAGCACCGAGTGTACTTTTATACCTGGAGATAACCGGCCTATCATAGGCGTAGACCACGATTTTTTGAGCAGTGAAACTGGCAGGCTCAGACAGGCCAACAGGTCAAAAATTGCTTGAACCTCTGATAAGTACTGGTCTGAAACTCGTGGTCTATGTCTATGACAGGTCGGCTACTTCATCGATTGGAAGCTAGCACGACCAAACAGAGTTTTGGCTAAAATCTTTTCTTAAAAATATATCCGGGCCATAAAAACTAGTCCATTTGATTCAGAATTTAATTCTGCGTCGAATGGTGATACTTTTATTCACCGGACTAGCTTTGGAAAAATTTTACCTTCATCTTTATTTTTTTCCTGTATAAAAGAAGAAAATTCAGATCAAAATTTTCCAAAGCTTATCCGGTAAATAAAAGTATCACCATTCGATGTAGAATTAAATTTTGAATCGAATGGACTAGTTTTTATGGCCCGGACATATTTATAAGAAACGTTTTTAGCTAAAACTTTGTTTCGTCGTGCTAGCTCGTCGTGCTAGCTTCCAATCGATGGCTACTTCCAGGTATAAAAGTACACTCGGTGCTCTGTGTGTACATCGAGTTTCTAGCCTCTCATCATTTTTGTTATAGCTATAAAATGTTGACAGGCCTACAGGCCTCGAAGACGTGGCCTGTTGGGGGTCTGGTACCATACATACCGCCAAAGAAACCAAAAAGAGATATACATCCCCTGACTTGTTCAACTACAAAAAACTTTTTGCCATTTAATTAAAACCAAACGAAATAAAGAGAAATGTTCAAAATAACAAGTTGTATCTTTCTATACTTTTGAGATTAAAACCTAGGGGTGGCAAACTTACGATCAAATCCGACGGTATTATTTTTAATCTAATTCAATCAGTTGCAGATAAAAGTAGATAATACATAAATACATCTACAAAATGTATTTTATGCCGGTGTATTTATATTACTGGTCCCAATCTATCCCAACCCAACCCAAGCCACTTATCTGGAAGCCAACTTCATTTTGCTACTCTTTATAATAAAAAACTATTAATACTACGTGATTATTTTTAAAAGCATTCAATTGAATTTCCAGGAAATTTTTCTTCTAGTCATTTTATTTGAATTTCCGAGCAACAGGAATTTACAATCGCATGTTTTGTCCATAATTTCTTTTAATTTTTCTTAGAAACTAGATCACTTAGATGTATGATTCTTTCGTCTGATGGTGCCTACTTTCGCGCTTTTCGAATTCCTAAAAACCAAGTTTGTTTGCCTTAGTTAATTAAAAATGCTGAAAAAAACACTGCGATAAACGGGATGATGAAAATTGAACAAAGAGTTGAGGATGACGTGTTTGTTCACTTTTTGTCTCTTACTACAAATCTCATTTGAAAAACTAATCAATAAGGTCTGTGTCGATGACAGTACAGAGAATCAAACTGAAAACTAAAATGATTCAGCAAGATCATTTATTCGCTTGTTATTTCGATTTAATGAACGTTACGCGATGATGACCTCTTAACGCGATGACTAAAATGAGTAAAATGCGGTCTCTTTTTCTATGTGGAAATATTTTTAGTGGTTGTCGAATGTAAATAATAGTACTTATTCTTAGAACTAAGACAATGTTTCATTGCGTCTGAGCTAGGTTATATAGGGCCAAGCTATTGATATTACAACTCGGTTTTTCGATTTTCCGGTCTTTCGGTTGATGCGTTACGATATTTTGCCGTCCTGTCGAATCTTGTCGGATACTGATGAAAACTTGAATGTTAGAGCATCGATCGGTTCCGACAACCGGATATCATTAGAATTTTATCGGAATCCTACGCTCGGATCCGACATTGATTCCTCAACCAGGAATCCAATGGGATTTCGTCGGATTGGGAGGATCCAATGAGATCCGATAGGATTCGGTATCGGATTCATTCATCTGGGTATTAGCAATATGATGAAGTACACATATTCAAATGAAAAAAATGCTCTTATAACTACCCTTGCATAAGTTAGCTTCATTATTAAATGTCAAATGTTTTAAACAGTGTTTTTGAGATAGGAAACTTTCAAATATCCATTCAAAAACTTGGGGTTGTACAAGAGTCTAGAAACTGCATCAATTCTTAATATGAGCCCAAGTAGTTTTAGCGTTTTTATTAGAACACTATGTAATGCCTATAAGCAAAAAAAAATTGAATCTCGGAAGGTGACATCTGTAGAAGCATGATTGTCAATGAAAATTTTTAAAAGTTTAATATATAATAAAAACGAAAGCTTTTCAAAAAGTAAAAGAAAAGAAACACAATTTAGGAGATGTTAGCGGTACTCCTACAGAAAATCTGAGGAAGGACTCAACTTCTCATGGTACCGCTTCTATTATGAGTTTTGTATAATCTATTGATGCTAATAAGTTTTCTATTTTTTCTGTAAATAGGTGATCATATCTATGGACAAATGAAAGCATTAGGTTCGTCATGCGATTGATCACGTAAAGTATTTACTATGGATAAAGATATGTCGTATGCTGTTGAAGAAGCGTTTATTCGAATGCATGAAAAAAACGTTCATCGTTCAACACGAATAGTTAATTGGTCATGTACACTTAAATCGACTATATCTGATATTGAAGTAAAACAATATTATATATTATTATTTTCTTATTAGAAATGTTTTCAATAAATATATATATATTTTTAGGTTGAGAAAACTGAATTAAAAGGTCGAACATTAATACCTGCTCCTGGTTATGATGAACCAGTTGAATTTGGTGTTTTAACCTATTTTGCTTATCTAGTTGAAAATTCAAGTGTTTTTTTTTAATATAAAATATTCGAAAATTTCTTCTCTTTTTTGTCTATCTATAGAAGAAGAAATTGTCGTTGCAACAAGTCGTCTTGAAACTATGCTTGGTGGTACAGCTGCTGCTGTTCATCCCGATGATGATCGTTATAAAGATTTACATGGTAAATATGTTCAACATCCATTTCTTCAACGTCGTTTACCAATATTAGCTAATACAATGGTTGATTCAGCATGTGGTTCGGATGCCGTTAAAGTTATACCAACACATGATCCAAATGATTTTGAATATGGACGTCAACTTAATTTACAATTTATAACATGTATTAATGATGATGGTTTAATGTCATCTGAATGTGGACGATATAGTGGTAAACTACGATTTCATGTTCGACGTCCATTATTACATGATTTAAAAGAACGTAGACTTTTTCGTGATTCAAAAGAAAGTGAAATGATTTTACCAATATGTAGCCTAAGTAAAAGTATTATTGAACTGTTACTTAAACCACAATGGTATGTTAATTGTAAAGATGTGGCAAAACGTTCAATTGAGGCTGTACAAGATAAAGAATTAAAATTTTACCAATTATTTTTGAACCTGTTTGGTATAAATGGTTAGACGATATACGTGATTGATGTATATCAAGATAATTACGGTGGGTTCATCGTATACCATCCTATTTCGTTAGTTCCGACGATATTCCCCCTGAAAATGAAACTGATGATCACAATTGGATTAGTGCTCATACATATGAAGAAGCACTTGATAAAGCTGAACAAAGATTAAATATTTCAAAATATAAAACTCGATTAACACAAGATGAAGATGTACTTGAGGCATGGTTTTCATCAAGTCTTTTACCATTTTCATCATTTGGTTGGCCAATGGAAACAGATGATTTTAAAAAATTTTTTTCCAACAACTTTAGTCGAAGCAGGTCATGATATACTTTTTTCTTGGATTGCACCAATGGTAATGATGTCATTAGAATTAACTGGTCGTTTACCATTTACAGAAGTTTATTTACAGTCAATTATTCGTGATGCAGATGCATGTAAAATGTCACAAACATTACGGGATGTTATTAATCCACTTGATCTCATCCATGATATATCATTAGAAAAGCTTCAAAAACGATGCAAAAGTTCAAATGAAGCCTATCCAGATAGTATTCCTGAATATGGAACTGATATATTACGTTTTGCTATTTGCGATTATGTTTCTGAAGGTTTTTAAATTGATCAGAGATTGTTTATTTTTTTTTATTTAATTTAATTTAGGTCAATATATTAACTTGAATAAATTTCATGTTGAACGTTCTCGAGATTTTTGTAATAATCGTTGGAATGTTATTCGATTTGCCATGTCGAAAAATTTAGATATTAATGATTCAAATTGTTTTCAACCACCAACAGAATTTGAAGTAATAAAGTTACTTCAAATTAAAAAATAGAATTTTTTATTTTAGCTTACTGTAACGGAAACACCATGTGATTTGTGGATATTAAGTCGGTTAAGTTATGCTATTGAACAATGTGAAAGTGGTTTTAAAAGGTATCAATTTCCTCAAATAGCAACAGCTATTTATAATTTTTGGTTTCCAGAATTAGATGATATTTATATTCAATATGTGAAAAAAGATTTTTATCCAGAAAAACCAAAATGTATATGTCTGTTATCTGCCTTCACTGACGATTCATCATAGTGACTGTAGCAGAATCTTTTCAACGACATGCTTGCCATTGAAAAGATAAGAATCATTTTGCATTATAATCTTTAAGGTGTGAACGTTATTTTGTTTTGTTAGTATTTTTGACGATATGTTTGTACGCAGGATTCGATTAAAAATCTTTTTCTATATTATTCAACTACTACTATCAATTATCGGTGTGGTTCAATCACAAAATGTTTGCTTGGATAATTCTGTTTTGATTTGTTATTGTGAAGATGTTATGGAATCTGTTTCTTGTACTGGAAAAAATGAAACAAATGACAGTTTTGTAGACTGGACAGCATTCTCGTCAGTTGATCATCGTCGATATTCTTTTACATTTTTAAATTTAACCCGTTTAACCCAGTCCACTTTTACTAATTTTGCATCAACATTCCCTCGAAATGATTTAACCATTGAGTTTATATTCATCAATGGTTTGGATGAAATAGGTGAAAATTCATTCGAAGAACTCAACTATTATTCAGTTGAACCGATTGATTTGAAATTTACTTCGCCACGCAATTTTCAACTTGCTGATTATGCATTTGGTCGCGTAGGCTACTTCGAAATAATTATCGATAGTGTACAATACAGTCACATTTATAATCGTCCATATAGATTTAATTTGAAGTCGATGGATGGTATCAAATTCTATCAGATGAGCATTATAAATTCTGGTGAAATCTATTTTGTTTCTAATGGATCGATTAATATGGAACTGACTCAACTAACAGTGAGTAATTGTTCGTTGTCCAATGCGAGTCTACTTGTGGAAGCTCTTTCAACATCTGTCGTTGACTTGGATCTTTCATCAAATCGTTTGACTGAAATACCTTCGATGATGAATTTTCAAGAAATGAGAGAAATCAATTTGCATAATAATCTTATTGAAGAAATTACATCAAATATATTCAATAATATGGTTAACTTAAATAACTTAGATTTGTCAAATAATCGAATCAGAATGATAGCGGTCGATTCATTTATTGGTTTGACTTCGTTGGTTACTTTAGCTTTAGAGAACAATTTTCTAACATCACTTGAAACATTAACAACTGACAATCGAACAATATCGTTTTTACATCCATTAAATACAACATTGGCTTTCTTTTCCGCCTCAAACAATTTTCTATCAAATTTGAATCCATTAAAACACATGATTAATTTAGATAATGTAACAATATGTTGTAATGAAATCAGAACATTAGAAGCAAATACGTTTGGCGATGCAAGTCAACTTAGAACAGTTGATTTAAGTTATAATAAAATCGAATTCATCGATTCGATGACTTTCAATGGAACGGTTATCAGTGAATTGAATTTGTCTGGAAATCTATTTTCATCTATTGAAACAAATTCTCAAGAAAATCAAAATCGAACAACATCGTTTCTATATACAATATCATCGACGGTTTTCCATCTATCATTTTCGAACTGTACTAATTTAATAGAAGTCAATTGGTTTGTGATATCAAAACTGCAAATCTTGTCAAATTTAGACCTTTCTCAATTGAACAAGGTTGACAAATTATGGCTCTATCGAAAGACAGACATTAATAGTGAAGATTCAGTTATACATTGGAGTTTTCCGCCTAAAATAAGTCTTGAGAACATCCGGTTCACTGACAATGATTATTGCTTAAGCAAACCAATTGTTCACATATTGAATAGGACAACTTTAATTGTTGATATTGATCATCCATGTAATTGCTTCATATTCAAATTTGACGATAACTTTGATAAAGAACAACGTCCGATTTGTCTATTGAACGATTCAATCATAAGCGAATTAAATGAGCAATGTGCCCATATTGATTTATTTTGTGAATTATTTTCTAACGGCACTGCACCACTCTCATTCACCGAATGGACGCCGTTATCACCGATGAATTCGAGTTCAACAGCTCGAATCAATTCAACTACAATAGTGACCACAGCAATAACTCAAACTTTTTCGACTACTCTTGCGTCGAGTACATTTACAATCGAGCAGTCATCGATATCCAATGTTGCCATAACAAGCACAGAAGTTCCATTGAAAAAATGGAATAAAAATCAACAAAGAGAAATCATTTTAGCAATAACAATTCCTGTTTCAGTCATTATTATTTCATCTTTCATCGTTATTTATATTTTTACAAGAGAAACAATGAAAAATTCGAACAAAAGCCTCGAAATGCAACAAACAATTTCACATAAAATTGATGAAGCATGATCTATATTTTCAGTTTATTGACCTAATATTTGTTTCAGTAACAGTAAGAACATATTTATCAGTTAGCAAACATTAAATCTTTGGATAATCAGATAATGCTTACTATTTGGAACTCGATGTATCATAACATAACTTTCCCAGGGCGAGGTTTCCGAAACTAGGATTCCCTGAGTAATCCGACAGTGAATCCGATGGTTAGGAAGAGTCGGATATGCTCAGAATCCAATAAAAATGTGTTGCATTTATAATCGATTATTCTTGATTCTATAACCCCTCCCTCATACAAGATCACATTTCTCGCCTGCAGTTAGCTCAAAATTAAGAAGAGAATTTACTATATTTTAAGCTTTATTGTAGAAGATAAAACGAAATAGAATACAATAATTAAATGTAAAACCTAGAATAAAACATTAAAAATAAAAGCTGTTAGCGCAATCCTTGTGGGATTAAAATGTGAAACACGATAAAGCTCTTTTTCTGGAATCCGTCTACCACGGTCTGTGATGGTCTGTGGAGCTTCTCTGTCGTGGTCTGTATTATGGTGTACGGAGTCTCTAGAGACCATCGCTGACCATTACAGAGGCTTCAAAATTCATCACCGACCGTGATAGAGAAATTAATTAATTAATTAATTAACTAATTAATTAATTTCTCTGTCCCGGTCTGTGAAGGGGGGGGGGGGGGGGGGGGGGGGGAA